GCTTCTTAACATTTACAATGCACAAAACACTCCAACCCCACTCCAAATTTAGAATTATCAAGGCCAAACGTCAGTAGTGCAGAGGTTAAGAAACAAATGCTTATTTAGGACAGTCAACACACTAGATATACTAAATACAAATTTATTTGCATTTAAGGATAAGACATTAATTCAGCTGGGTGATCATTGAAAGGCCTATGAGGTAGCAAATTTGTTTGATGTTTCATTACATTGTATACACTGCCAGACAACTGGAAAGAGTCCAGTTACATTTTGACAGTGTTTTAATGATTTACTCCAGTGTTAGTATTATCTTCAACTGTTTGAAAGGATGTGTAAAATTTACTAACCCACATAGCTCTAGGTGTAATTGGTACATGCTAAGTCATTTAAAACATCTGAATTAATCTAGGAAATTTGGTAACCTCTAACAAGCTCACACTAATTTGTCATTCACTGCTAAGACCAATGTGAAGAAAGATTTTTTTTCTCCATGTGACTGTTGCCTACTTTGAAATTTCTGGAGGGCTAGGAGTTTTTGCTTTATTTGGCTTTGTTTGGCTTTTATTTGGAGCATATTCTCAGCCCTACACATTCACAGCTAGTCTGCTAAAGGGAAAGAAAAAAGAGAAAAATCTGTTTCCAGACCAGATGATGAATATCATTTTTTCAAGAAAAATGAAAAATCATTGAATTCCCCATCACTGTACTTTACTCTTTTTTTAATTTTTATTTTTAATTGTAGATGGATATGATACCTTTATTTTATTTATTTATTTTTATGTGGTGCTGAGGATTTGAACCCAGTGTCTCACACATGCTAGGTGTTTGAGTGCTGAGCTACAATTCCAGTCCCTGTACTATACTCTTAATCTGGATTACAGAGACCATTCTTGAAAATCATTATCCAAAATTCTGTCTTAATGATAGTTCATTTTCACCTATAATCTCAGTGATTTACAACCCTGAAGTAGGGGGATTAGAAGTTCAAATCCAGGCTTGGCAATTTAGCAAGATCCTGTCTCAACAAAAAGAAAAGAAAGAAAGAAAAGAAAAGAAAAGAAAAGAAAGAAAGAAAAGGGTTTGGGAATGTGACTCAGTAGTGCAACTTCCCTGGATTCAATCCTCAGAAACCACCACATACACACACACACAAAAGATAGTGTATTGTGCCAGGCTTTCTTGGGTACCTCATTTTGGTGGCCTTGGACAAAATTGTTGCTGGGATTATTATAAGTGTTTTCTTCTCTAAATTTTTGGTTATTACTTTGTATTTGCATTTCTTTGGCATCAAAGATTTTAAAAATTGGCTACTACTTTGTACTGTTGAAAAAGAAGGGATTTCCTTTCTTCAACAAGGAAGTTCAACAAAGTTGGGCTAGTTTTTAATGAGCTTACTAACTTTCAAGGGACCAGTCCAGATTCATTTGGAGTTACAAATAAGAGGAGATATTTCTAAGAATATGTAGAGTTTGATGAACAATAACCTGATTTCCCTCTCATTATTGACGTCTTCTCAAGAAGTCTTTGGGGGGGGAACTGGGGTTTGTAGCTCAGTGGTAGAGCACTTGCCTCGCATGTGTGAGGCACAGGATTTGATCCTCAGCACCACATAAAAAATAAACAAATAAAATAAAGGTATTGTGCCCATCTACAACTAAAAATATTTAAAAAGAAAAGAAAAGAAAAAGAAAAAGAAGAAGTATTTTKGGGGGGACCTAGTTAGTTTTAAGTTGGCAAATGCAATCCTTTACATTTATCATGCAGACCATTAGAGGGCAGCAGTGCCCAGACACAGCCAGAAAACCAAACATGAGATTTGAGGGCATGTGAGTCTTTTTTGAATCTTCTAAAAACAATTGGAATTACCATAATTTAGCAGATTTAACCTATGGTCTGTATTTTAGTGTAGAATTTTTATACAACTACAAATTGCCTCAACTTTGAACTTTAACATATTTTTAAATGGCTTGTTATTCTGATTGTGTATGAATTTGTTTTGTAGTATTTCTGATTGCATATGGAAAGGCTGTTAATAACATAGTACCATCAAAGGTGATATATATTTAAACTCTTACTGGGTACTACTACTAATATTACTGTTGTCGTTCTTATTAAAATATAAGTAGCTGGTGATGATGAGACTCTTAGTAGGAAGGAATGCTTTTAATTTCAGAAGTATGATGCCATGCCAAAGAATATGCAATGAGTAAGTATTTTTCAAATAAATGCAATCTAGATTTTTGGAAAACAGCTTTTAGTTTTATTCTGGGAAGGGGAAAGAGAGACACTGTATCTGTGTTGGAAGAGCTTTCCTGTAACAGCTTGCAACAATCCTCACAAGAACCTTATGAAGTAGCTACCACAGTATTATCTTCAGTACATGTGAGGAAGCTAAAACACAATGGGGTAAGTGAATTGACACTGTACCAGCTCATAATAATAGAAAGCAGCCAAGCTGGGATTTGAACCAAGGCATTCTGAAATCAGAGACATGAACTAGAAGTGGACTACCTTTCTCCCTGAATTGTAATTCCATCTGTTTCTATCACATTTTCACGTCTAATCTTATTTCTGAGCTCTTTGATTATTCTGTTTGATCATTTAGCCCTTCACTAATGTTAATTGTTGTACTTTGTTAATTCTTTTTTATATAAGTTTTATATAAATTTTGATATATGGAAAGCTTGACTCTCCTCTTACTTTTATTCAGAATTTCCTTGACTAATTTTGCATCTTTGTTCTTCCCTATTAAGTTCAGGACTAACTTGTCATATTACATGGCAAACTCTTTAGGAATTTTGCCTACAAGTGTTATATGCAATCTTAACTTTCTGAATCACCATAAGTCATTTTTGGAACAAGACATAAGGTAGACAGATAAAATATAAGTAAGAATTTACTTATTTATTTTTCCCTGTCTTTGCAAATGATGTAGAGTGTTAGTAAAAAGCATTCATGAGGGCTACTTTGGTATGAACAAATTTTGTATCTGATTTTATCTTATCAGGAATCTTGTAAGATAACCTAAGTACATATCTTAGGCAAAGTTATTTGTCCAGCATCATATAATGAGTAAAGCAAAAACTAGAATCCAGACCTTTTACACTTAAGGCAATCTTATTTTCATTATATTGCTGATATTTGCTTACTGTATCATCTGCCCTAGTCCAGCCTTTCCTTTTTCTAGGTATGGGCCACAAAGCCAAAAAGAATTGTGGTGAGCAGTTCTAATAAAGGATGACAGTTGGCCATTTTTAACTGTCAGGAGGATGTATGGGTAATATTGAGTTTAATCTACAACATGATTTCAGATTCAATGGGAATAGGCACTTTCTGGTTTTAAAAGATAACTAATGCTTAGCTAATTGGCTTAAGAAGGGTTGTAAAGCAATCTTCTCTAGAGAATTTTATAGAAAGGCTGAATTCCATTCTGTCTATATTATTTGAAATATAATTCCACTTAACTAGGTGCCAAATAAAAGTTCATGCCAGTCTTAAATCTTAAAATATTAGCTGACAGAGTTTGGGGATATAGCTCAATGGATGCATGCCTGAGGCCCAGCACCAAAAACAATAACAATAATAAAAATTCATTAGCTGACACATTTAATTAAATTGTTGCAATTTTGATGTGTGTTTCATCTTTTGTACCACTCATCAGAATTCAGTAGGAAATCATTTAGAATACCTCCTACATGCACACAGTTTCTTGATGTAACCAATATACAGCAGAAGACAAAAGAATATATATTGTTTTAATTGAATGAAACACCTGACCTCATGGAGCTGCATTTTAGTGAGAGAAGAATAAATAAGTTAAATAAAATTCATAGTGATAAGCATTAAAGAGAAAAATATAATAAGGAATAAGCAATGTGTTTGGGGGAGAGTATAATTTTTAAAAGGATGGCAAGAAAAGATGGCATTTGAGCAAAGAAATGCACTCCAGACAGAGGGAACAACTAAGTGCAAAGGCCTCGAGRCAGGAACAAGAAGGTCTGTGCATTTGGAGCAGAATGAATGAAGGCAAAAAACTGTGTAGAAAGGCCAGATCCTATAGGACCCTGTAAATAAGAACTTTTGAGTTTTACTCTGATTGAGATGTAGAACCATTTGAATGAAAAGAGGAGTTATGTGACAAATTGACATACTTTTTAACTGGATCACTCTGTCTACAGAGTTGAGGGAGGGAATAAGGGTGAAAGCAATGAGACCAGGTAGGAGACGATTGTATTGTTATAGTAGGAGAGGTATTGGAATGAAACAAGGTGTCAATGAAAGATGGAAAGATTATAAACATATTTGAAAAGTGAAGTCCGAAAGTTTGCAGCGGAATGGATAACTGGATATTAGAGAAAGGCATTAAAGATGACACAAAGCTATTCACATGAATGATTAGAAAAATATAAACGTAACACTTACTGAACTGGGGACTACTAAAGAATGCAGATTTAGAGATAGGTAAAGATTAAGAGTGCCATCTTAGACATACAGTGAAGACTTTATTTTAAATCCAAGGGCTAATACTTCGTTTGAATAATTCATTAGATCGGTATRTAGTTCAGGAGAGAGCTTGATTGGAAGTAAGAATTTGTAACTCATAGGGTGTTTTATGATTAACAGATAGGAGATTGCAAGTGATCACCAAAGAGCAAAGTTTTAATAGAAAAGAGAGTCAGGGTCTGAACCCTGAGGTATTCACATTGTTAATAGATTAAGGACATAGACAAAGAAGTAGCAAAAAGACCCAGAAATCAAGTAAAGAAAATGTTTGTGGAAGAYGAAGACAAGTGACCAGGTGTCTCAGATGCTGCCAATAGATCATGGAAGAAGTTTGGTTCTGATACTCTGTATTTTGGCATATATATATGAATGTATCTAGTATAATCACTGATCTGTCTGATTTCAGTATGTGTCCCTCTGTGCTCCTCTGCCCTTTCTGACTATCTGCCATTGTTATTTTAACTTTTAAATAATTTACTGTTTTGATGTTGCAGGAGAATCCAAATCCTCATATGGCATTTCAGAAAGTTCCACGCCCAACAGAAGGATCTCATTTGCGAGTTCATATTCTTCCTTTCCCTAAAATTAATGAAGCTCGGGTTCAAGAATTAATACAGGAAAATCTTGCTAAGAACCAGAATGCACCTCCTGCTACACGAATGGAGAAGAAATGTGTTGTGCCAGCAGGTCCACCTGTTGGTATGTATTTGTCTGTTTTTAAAGTAAATTTTTTATCAAGACACAAGACACGAAAAAAGAAAAGTATATTATTTGATGAATTTTCACAAAGTGAACAAAGTCACATAAGTAGAATCAGAACATTATCAACACTGAGAAACTCTCTTCTATTCACTGCTCTCACAAAGGATAATCACTAAACTATGCTACCACTGTAAAATCTTTTCTTTTTATGAAATAGCTTTTTTTGAGATACAAGTCACATATCATAAATTCTCCCATTTAAGGTCTCCAATTCAGTGTTTTTTTTTAGTATATTCACAGAATTGTTCAACCATTACCACTAGTTTGAGAACATTTTTATAAGCTAAATAGAATATCTTGTACCTACTAGTAATTTCCCATTTACTCACCAAATTTAGGCAATAATCTGCCTTCTGTCTTCATATAGTTCCCTCTTSTGGCCATTTTTATAAATAGAATTTTATAAATTTTTATAAATAGAATATGCTATTTGATCTTTTGTGACTAACTTCCTTCATTTAGCATAATATTTTCAAGGTTTATCTTTGTTTTAGCTTGTATCAGTTCATCATTGATTTTTAATAACTGTATAATATTCTGTGGTAGTCTTTAGATATGTGGGAGGTGAACAGATTGTGCCTTTAGATTCTAAAAAATAGCTATATATATAAATCTTTCTTTTTGGCTTCATTTATTTGACTTTTTTTCTTCATTAATACTTCATTTGCACAAAAATATGGTATAGTTCTTTGTGAAAATATCCTTTTTTTTTTTGTACCAAGTATTGGACCCAGGGTCTCTTAACCACATCCCCAGCCCTTCTTTGTGTTTTATTTAGAGACAAGGTCTCACTGAGTTGCTTAGGGCCTCACTAAGTTGCTGAGGCTGGCTTTGAACTCAAGATCYTCCTTAGCCTCTCGAGCTGCTGGGATTACAAGTATGTGCCATCATGCCTGGAAAAATATCCTTTTTATTTTATTACAGTATTTTTTACAAATACTGCTTTCATTTATATCTTTCTAATTTTCTTTTAATAAACTAAATATATTTGGATAACTTTAAAGATTAGAATTTTTCAATTCTGTGTTAAAAGAAAATTTGAGAAATTAGAAGTGACTTTCTGCCAGACATGGAGTATATGCCTGTAATCCCAGCTACTTGGGAGGCTGAGGCAAGGGGATTGCAGGTTCAAGACCAGCCAGGCAACTTAATAAGACCTAGTCTCGAAATAAAATAATAAAAAGGGCTGGCAGCATAGCTCAGTGGTAGAACATGTGCCTAACATGTGGGAATCCTGAGTTCAATCCCCAGTACTGGGGGGAAAAATGACTTTCCTGAGCCAGAATAGCCATACATTGGCCATAATCATTTCTTTACTTTTTTTTTTAACACTACTTCTTCCCTTCAAGTCCCATATGCACAAATTTGTAGTATCTAATTTTTTTGATATATACTTTCTCCTTGGTAATATTTTAAGACTGCTTTTTCTGTTGGTAGTCCTCTTGTACATTATCTATTTTTGTTGTTGTCCCGTACCCCAAACATTCCATATCAGAACAGTTAGTTTACAATTGAAATTTAAAATAGTTGTTTACCTTTACAGTATAATTTGCTTAAGAGTAAAGAGTAACGTGAAAAAATCTATCCCGTGGAATTATCCATTAGTCCAACATTTCAAAATGTGAAAATGTAATCAAATAATGAATTGGAATACCTTCAGTTCCATATAACAAGAGAAAAAAACATTCTGATGTTGTTTATAAGTCTTTTTTTTTCCCATACCAGGGATTGAACTCAGAGGTACTTAAGCCACATCCCCAGCTTCTTTTTAGCTTTTTTAAATTTTGAAATAGGATCTCATGAAGTTGCTAAGGCTATCCTTGAACTTGAAACTTTCTGCCTCAGCCTCCTGAATCTTTGGGATTCAGGATGCACCACAGGCATGCACCACCATGCCCAGCATGTTAACAGTCTAGAAGTAATATTCCCCTTGCTTTTGTAATTGCCAAAGAAGTTTAATTCAGTTGTATTTTCTTTATATTTCTTTACTAGTTTCAATAATGGATAAGGTGACAACAGTTTTCAACAGTGCACAGAGACTGGAAGTTGTTAGAAACTGTATCTCATTCATATTTGAAAATAAAACTTTGGAGACTGAGAAGGTAATAAAATGCCATTTTCCCAAGTAAACATTTATCATCTCCTGTTTAGATTTACATGTTAAAGTAACTGATCTTTCCTCTGATTCTATCCCTTTTCCTACTAAAATGTCCTTTCATTATTATAATCCCTTTAAATGAGTAGTGATTAAGATTTTAAACTGGTAGTCTAATGCTAATTATATGGCTATAAGAAAAATATTGATGATAATTTTTCCCTGATATTTTAAAACATTGTCCTGAAAACATTATTCTATATTTTAAATATAATTTTATTTATTGTAGAATGTAGCTAGATTTTATAATGGATTAAAGAAGCCTGTACTAAACTTTAAATGACTGCTCAGCTCTTTTATGTTTGAGGATTTTGTTTCCATTTCTTCTTATGTTTGAAATGTTGCAGGTTTCACTTCTCTACTTTCAGCTTTCACCTACTGTTTCTTATACCTGCCTATAACATTATTATGCCCTCTTATACTTGGACTTTTTCCCTTTCCTTTTTATTTGCTCCTTTGTTCTGTTCTTTAGGTTTCCCAAATCAAATAAGCTTGTTATGACTTTGTCTTAGATGGAAAACTGGAAGAGGCATTCTTGAGTTTCTTGTGAAGAAGTCAAAGAGTTTTAGTGCATAAACCTAGAGATATCTGTTGAAGTTTTCCTGAGTTTTTTTTAACTTATTTTCATATTAAAATGAGGAGAAGAGATTGTAAAACTATCTAGTCATCCACTAATATTGAGTAGTGATGAAATAGCTGACCAATTTAAAAGTATGAAATTGTTTGTGGGGTTTTTGTATGTTTGGTTGGTTGGTTTTGGTACCAGGGATTGAACTCAGAGGCACTTGACAACTGAGTCACACCCCCAGCCCTATTTTTTGTCATTTATTTAGAGATAGGGTCTCACTGAGTTGCTTAGTGCCTCAAAGTTGCTGAGGCTGGCTTTGAACTTGCAATTCTCCTGTCTCAGCCTCCCAAGCCCCTGGGATTACAGGGGTACACCACTGCATCCCGCTTGTGGGTTTTTTTAAAATGTGTCATCATAATTTTTCCTTCTATTCTTACTATGGATACTTGGCCAGTTATAGAAAGTGTCTGTCTGTATGTAGCTTTGTGTTGTGTTCTGAAGCAATCGTCAGTTTGGTAACTAACATCTTGTTAAGTCTSAGGGAAAAAGTTAATGTTTTTTCAATTTACCACATAAGCTCATTCTGCTTATTTTTCATGCTGGCTTACAAATAAATAGAACTATAAACCTATCTATTTATTAATCATCTTTCTAGTAAATCACTTCTTCCCTAGGAATTCATTTTACTAATAACTTTGTTAAATAGTTGATAGGATGCATTTGAATTTTCAGTTTTAGTGTTTGAAAGATTTTGGTTTTTTCATTTTGTTTTTTCCCTGTGGTACCTTTTGGTCACTTGTGTCCCTCTTGTCCTTAGACCCTTCCTGCCGCGCTGAGAGCCCTTAAAGGAAAAGCAGCAAGACAGTGTCTCACTGATGAACTGGGCTTGCATGTACAGCAAAACCGGGCAATATTGGACCATCAACAGTTTGACTATATAATAAGGATGATGAATTGTACTTTACAGGTAATTTTTAGTCCTTCCAGATTATTCCTCTTATTTGAAGATACTTCCCACCACCCCACAGGAGATTAGTAATTACCAATGTATTAAATTCTTGAAACTGCTACAGCTAATAGGATGAAGACCCAATATCCATACCATTTCTTTCAGAAGCTTGTACTCATTTCTTGACATAAATATTAAGATTCTCTATTTATTTTTGTTTATCTTGAAAAATATCATTTTATTAGTTTTGTAATATAAGCAAKCTCTGTGAAAATGGAATGTTATCTTTAAAGCACTGAGTTATATATTACTTAATATCTATAGTCACATCAACCCTTTTCAGTCAGTTTTTAGGTAAGGCAGAGGGCAATTAATGATGGATAATCCAAATGATAAATGAGTTAGTTGTTAAGCACTTTGTAAGTGTAGAGCACAAAAGAAAAAGTTTATAGTGAGCTTCAAAACATGTCTTATCTTACAGAGAGAAACTTTGAAGACCCAAATTAGGAGAAGCAAATACTCCGGTTTCCTTATTAGGTATTCTGTAACATTCGCATCCTGTTCTCTATTGCTGATGCAAAAATCCTTTTTCAAAGAGAAAATTTAATGAAATATGGAGAGTTCAAGAGTATCTGTGGGACCCATATAAAATAAACAAAATAATGTATGTTAAACATTATACACATATCAGAAAGCAAGAATTATAGGGTATAATTAGTTTAAAAATTATGAATGAAAGAGGGCCTAAGTAAATAAAATTTACCATGTTTATGGATTGAAAATCTTCTATAATAAAGATATCAGTTCTCCTAAAAATAATCTAAAGAGAAAGTACAGTTTCTATCAGAATCCCAAGTAGATGAGCAAAAGCCTTATAATTACCAACATGCTGCTGAAGAAAAACATCTAAATATAAGAATTTGCCTTTTCAGCTATTAAAAATTTTGCTTAAGATTATAGTAATTAAGACAGTGTGGAATTTGTACAATCATAATTAAATTGACCAATAGAACAGAATAGAGATCCCCAAAACTGATAGATTCATATGTGGAAATGTGGTTTAAGAGGTTTGGCATCTTAGACTAGTGGTAAAGTGATAAAGCAATTCATTAAATAGTGGTGARAAGTTTGGATGAGTGCATACACATAATATACCATTGATACAACGATTGTACATATATCTCACAGCATATACAAAAATCAATTCCACATGGATTGAAAACTTAATATGAAGAGCCAAAAAAGCTAATCTGAAAGCCTAAACTGTTCAAAACACAGTACAAGAAATAACCTTATGACCCTGAGGGAGGGAAGGATTTTTTAAACACATCACAAATGGTGCTATTCTTAAAAGAAACACTTAATAAATTTGACTTCATAGTGTTCATGAAAAAATATACCATAGATAAAAAATACAAACCAGAGTGAGAGATGTTTGTAAAACATATAACTGTCCAAAGGTTTGTACTGAGGTTACAAGAACTCCTACAAATAAATTTTTTAAAAAAGGAAGAAAAACCTAATTTTAAAATGGGCAGAAGATTAAAGAAACCCACTTGGTTAAAAAGTGTATGAAAATCATCTGTAATGATCTATATCAGTAACTGAAGAAATACCTTTTATTTTGTCCTGGAAACTGAACTCAGGGGCACTCTACTACCAAGCTACATCTCCAGCCCTTTTTATTTTTTGAGACTGCATCCCATCAAGGTGCARAGGATCTCACCAAGTTAGTGAGGCTGGCCTAGAATCTTGTGAACCTTCACCTCAGCCTTCAGAATTGTTGGGATTAYAGGTATTGCTCACCTAAAAACAGCAAGATAGGCTTTTACAAATTCACTGTTTGACAAAAATTTTTAAATTTGTTGTTATTAATTATTGGCAAAGTTTTGAAACAAATAGAACAAATAAACTATACTAGTGAATGTATAAGTTGATGTAACCACTTTAGAAAATTTTATGAGCTATAAGAAAATAAATAAGATCATTTCTCATTTTCTAATAAAACTGCCTATGTGGCATAATCTGTGACCCAGAGACTCCTTCCCTAGAGGAGCTCTTGCCTACATACACCAAGAAGCATGCACAAAAGTGTTCATAGCAGCATTGTTTTAAATAGCAGAAAACTTGAAACAACTCATAATGCCAATCAGCATAAGAATGAATAAGTAAATTATGATATCTTCTTATAATAGGAGATTATTTAGCAGACAATAAATGAATTGTAAGTACAAGTAATAATGTTGACAAAACTTTTTTTTATTGGTTGTTCAAAACATTACAAAGCTCATGACATATCATCTTTCATACATTTGACTCAARTGGGTTATGAACTCCCATTTTTACCCCAAATACAAATTGCAGAATCACATCGGTTACACATTCACATTTTTACATAATGGCATATTAGTGACTGTTGTATTCTGCTACCTTTCCTATCCCCTACTATACCCCCTCCCCTCCCCTCCCATCTTCCCTCTCTACCTCATCTGCTGTTGTTCAATTCTCTCCCTTGTTTCCCCTCCCCATTTCCCCTCACAATCTCTTATGTGTAATTTTGTGTAACATTGAGGGTTTCCTACCATTTCCATACGATTTCCCTTCTCTCTCCCTTTCTCTCCCCCCACTCGTCTCTCTTTAATGTTAATCTTTTACTCATGCTCTTCCTCCCTGTTCTGTTCTTAGTTTCTCTCTTTATATCAAAGAAGACATTTGGCATTTGTTTTTTAAGGATTGGCTAGCTTCACTTAGCATAATCTGCTCTAATGCCATCCATTTCCCTGCAAATTCCATGATTTTGTCATTTTTTAGTGCTGCATAATACTCCATTGTGTATAAATGCCACATTTTTTTTTATCCATTTATCTATTGAAGGGCATCTAGGTTGGTTCCACAGTCTAGCTATTGTGAATTGTTTTGCTATGATCATTGATGTGGCAGTATCCCTATAGTACGCTCTTTTAAGATCCTCAGGGAATAGTCCGAGAAGGGCGATAGCTGGGTCAAATAGTGGATCCATTCCCAGCTTTCCCAGGAATCTCCATACTGCTTTCCAAATTGACCTCACCAATTTGCAGTCCCACCAGCAATGTACAAGTGTACCCTTTTCCCCACATCCTTGCCAGCACTTATTGTTGTTTGACTTCATAATGGCTGCCAATCTTACTGGAGTGAGATGGTATCTTAGGGTGGTTTTGATTTGCATTTCTCTGACTGCTAGAGATGGTGAGCATTTTTTCATGTACTTATTGATTGATTGTATGTCCTCCTCTGAGAAGTGTCTGTTCAGGTCCTTGGCCCATTTGTTGATTGGGTTATTTGTTATCTTATTGTTTAATTTTTTGAGTTCTTTGTATATTCTGGATATTAGGGCTCTATCTGAAGTGTGAGGGGTAAAAATTTGTTCCCAGGATGTAGCCTTTCTATTTACCTCTCATTGTTTCTCTTGCTGAGAAAAAACTTTTTAGTTTAAGTAAATCCCATTTGTTTATTCTTGTTATTAACTCTTGGGCTATGGACGTCCTATTAAGGAATTTGGAGCCCGACCCCACAATATGTAGATGAGAGCCAACTTTTTCTTCTATTAGGCGCAGAGTCTCTGATTTGATATCAAGCTCTTTGATCCATTTTGAGTTAACTTTTGTGCACGTCGAGAGAAAGGGTTCAGCTTCATTTTGTTGCATATGGATTTCCAGTTTTCCCAGCACCATTTGTTGAAGATGCTATCCTTYCTCCATTGCATGCTTTTAGCCYCTTTATCAAATATAAGAWAGTTGTAATTTTGTGGATTGGTYTCTGTGTCCTCTATTCTGTACCATTGGTCCACCTGCCTGTTTTGGTACCAGTACCATGCTGTTTTTGTTACTATTGCTCTGTAGTACAGTTTGAAATCTGGTATCACTATACCTCCAGATTCACACTTCCTGCTTAGAATTGCTTTTGCTATTCTGGGTCTTTTGTTTTTCCATATGAATTTCATGATTGCTATATCTATAACAAACCTTAAAGAAGATAATTTTATGCAGAAATAAAAATAGCTCAATTACAACATGGTTCCGCTTTATAAAATTGAAAAATACATATTATTTAGAGAGATTTAATTTAGTGATACTTATGTGGTAAAAATATAAAGAAAATCATAGTAATAAGAAACAAAATATTTAAGAAAATTACCTTTGGGACATAGAGAGGAAGGGTGGTGAACATGGGTCTCTCTAACAGTAATGGTAATATTTCATTTCTGATATTAGGTATATAGGTGCTCATTGTATCACTGTTCTTTATAACTTTATAACATACATATTTTATGTCTTAGGGTACTCCTCTTAGTTTTTTTGTATGACATATTTATCTTCCCAAACTCATTCCAAAGGATATATTTCTTATAAATTCTTACTTAAATATTTGTAGTGATCTAGTCCACAATGAAAAATGTAATCTTGTAAGAAGCACTGTGTAGTTTGTGTAAGTGATTTGACAAAATAAGAGAYGGATCACCTTTACTGGAAATACATTCTTCCTTAAAGAGTATAAGATACTTGATATTAGAGTTTATAACAGCAAAAAATCCAAACAACCTAAGTATTTACCATTTGGATATTGATTTATTTAATTAACATACAACTCTTCTTTAGAATACTGTTTGATTACTAAATAGAAACAACTTTATATATGTACTGATGTGGCAAAACTTGTTATATATATGCAGGAAGGTATAAAGGAAGTTAAAATAGATACAATATGATTCTGTTTTTGATCTATACTTACATATATATATATATATGAATGTAGATGATAGTAAAAATCTAGACAAATATTTACACTAAATTCTTAATAGTGGTTATTTCTGAGATATGGATTATAAAAAATTTGATTTCCAACGTAAATACTTCTCTGTCTGAAACACACATAACTATATTATGTAAAATTAATTACCAGCATATATTAATTTATTATTGTTAATATACTAGTTAGCATATACTAATTAATTACTGTTATTATAGAGAATAAGAAATAGG